ATTAAAAAAAGATGGCAGAAGTTACTGGGCCAAGAGGCTGATAAGCTCACACAGATCCCTTGGAAGAAGTTCAAATCTATCAGACCAATCAAAATTAAGAGCCTCCAATGGCTCATTACTTATGCAGCCCTTCCAGTGAATCAATGGTTACACATCAGGCGATAGGGTTCAGATCCCAGCAGTTTGGATTTATGCACAGTCTGCACAGAGGGGGTCATAGTGGACATAATACACTGCCTAGTACACTGCAGGGAGGCAACGGACTACTGGGCGAGGGCTTCGGCCCTCTGGGACTCCCTATTCCCGACCCCCTTCCTTGAACAACCCATCCAACTTCTTCTCTTGACTAACATTCCCGAACAGCCATGTGGTTTGGGCTTATCAGAAAGGTGACCTTGTGGGTTATTTGGAAGGAAAGATGCAGCAGAACCATCGAAGGACTTTCCAACTCACGAGAGAAGGTATGGGCTGAGACGAAAACGATGATACAAGCATAAATTCTCTGCAGATGGCAGAAAACCAAACAATCATGGCTGGAGGACGAACACCAGCAAAAGAAGGTGAGAACGAGATTCAGCAGGCTCTGGTTAGTAAGCGGAAAAGTGGCGGAGATACGAGAAGACCGCATTCGCTGGAAGGACTGGCATAACTCGACTTCAGACAAGAAGGGGCAACGTTCTATAACAGTGGGTGGTCAGAATTCCTCGCGACCAGAACTCTACGAGGAAGAGGGAAGAACTTAGGGTCTAAGGGCCAGTCAGCCCCTAACAGGATATGGCTGCTGGAGGGGAAGGGTGCGGAGATTCGGCAGGAAGCGGAAAAGATTGGTTCAAGTTCAGAGACGGGTGACCAAGCACCAAGAGTCAGGGAGGCGGTGGAGTCAGAGACCGACAGGGGAACACGTATGGGGGCAGCATAGCTAGGACACAAACTCAAGAAAGATTGGGAGCTCAGGGTATGATACCATCTCTGCGTTCAGAGCCAATGACTGGGGGTTCGGAAAGGAAGGACAAGATTGGAGGACAGATGGAACCGGTGGAGCGGCCAGCTAGGGCACTGCAAGAAAAAGAATCCTTGAAGTATGAGCCTCAATGGTAAGCGCCGTCATAGCCCTTTTGCAGGCAGATAGGCTGTATGGACCTGAGAATGCTGGAGTAAGGTTACAACGGAAGACAGTTACGCTCCACTTAAAGGAAACAGGCAAGGTGTCAGCAAGGTTTAATGGCTTCCTGATGAGGGCTTAGGGGTTAGGGTTCTAGTGTTTTTAATCAAGGGGAAGGAAAAAGTGGGGCAGAGATCACTGCGGCCCATGGACAAGAAGGGCAACTGAGGACATAGAAGCTAGCTTGGTCAAGGGTTGAGCTCCTTCTAGGGGACATGGAACTATCTGGCAGATCTGGTTACTAGGTCTGAGAGGGAAGAGCGAGACATGGCANGCTAGCTTGGTCAAGGGTTGAGCTCCTTCTAGGGGACATGGAACTATCTGGCAGATCTGGTTACTAGGTCTGAGAGGGAAGAGCGAGACATGGCAAGCTGGCAATCAATCCTCCACCGAGGTGGAGCAATCAATGCTGCTCAGGGGTCCTTCGGCCAGACCGAAGGAAGCGTGCGTGATTCATATTGTAATAATTTTCTGGCTTGCCGGTGGAATAGGAACCGGACTGTAGGGAGGAAGAGTTGATAAGAAGACTCAGGGTTTATCAGGTCAAAGAGGATAGGGAGGGGTTTAGGGTTTAAAAATAGAAAGTAAGACTCTGAGCTTAAGGGGAAGTAGTCAGAAGGGAAGGGAGACAGTGTAGAGTTCAGGGGAGATAGACAAATAAGACAGAATGGAAATGGGAAAGGTCAAAGGACTCGGTAGGGTTTTCGAGTTCAAAGGAGGTTTTAGGGTTTAAAGAGGTAAAGTGGGAGGGGAGCAGGGGGGGTGCAGAATTCAGGGGAGATAGACAAATAAGGCAGAATGGAAATGGGAAAGGTCAAAGGAAGAGGTAGGGTTTTAGAGTTTAAAGGAGGGTTTAGGGTTTAAAAGCGGTAAGGTGAGACKGGAGTAGGGGGCGTGCAGAATTCAGGGATAGCTAGCTAGATAACGGAATTGGTAACATAGGGAGTATATGGTAACATGGGGAGAGGCAGCCATAGGATCACGGTAAGTGGAAGGCGGTAGGAGGAATAGGTAATATAGGAGATTCAGGGTTGGGAAAAAAAAAAAAAAAAAAAAAAAAAAAAAAAAAAAACCGGACTGCCCTGGATATCAGCTCTAGCATCCAGGTTCTTCCGACAGCACTCAGCTGAGAGGAGCTAGGAGCCAGGCAGCTCAGAGAATCAGAAGTTAGAGAATATAGGTTAACTTAGGCAGGGGTGAGGGGTGGTACATCCTTCCCAAGGGAAGTAATCAATGCTGTCCACTCGGGCCTCTCAACCATAATGGGGAGGAGCATGTGTGTGTCTTCATTGTATCCATATTTGACTTGCCGGGGGAATAGGAACCAGACTGTTGCTCCCCAGAATGGCAGGAGCCAGAGCCGAGAGGTTCTGAAAAAAAAAAAGAAAAAAAGAAAAAAAAAAGAAAGGAACCGGACTGATGCTCCCCAGAATGGAAGGAGCCAGAACCTATCCTGTTGTTCATCCACATAAACTGCAACCCTATAATAGAGAACGCACAATTCCTTCTCGCAGATCGATGATTCCTACTATGGATGGAAGATAATGAGATCGATCATATTGTTGCCTGCAATCGGTATGAAGATAAGCCTGGAATGGGAAGAAAATGGAAACAATATACAGTAAGGTTTAAGAGTCAGAACCCATCTGAAGACAGATCGTTCATCAGACAGCAACTCCTATAAACAGCCCATCAAATATTGTCAAGATATGAGAAAGGCCTCCGAGGCATTCGAGAAATTGCAGCAGAACAAGAATGAATTCCATTGGAGCCATTGCTGAAAGGAGGCAGTTTGCAGAGTATGGGAAGGCCCTGCCTCCAAGCTGTAGGGGAGAGACAGTGGGGACAAAAGCTGGAGGTGAGATCTTGCTGGTGCGAAAGAGGTTTGCTTACCTCGTGTCTTCTTGGTGATGTTCTTCACTATTGTCGACTTCTCTGCTGCTTGTGGTATACTGCCTTGTCATTTCCAGGCTGGATCGGTCAGGCACTTGAGGAGAGAGACATTGCGGTTAAGTGTGGCGAGTTTCAAGTAGTGTTGGGCATGGGTTGGAGTGACACACTTGTTTGATACAGAGAAGGCAATTGGAGAAGAATCTCCCCGAGTTGGAGGGGGGAGAAGATTGACTTTGTAATATCTAATTATTAATGAAATTATTATGCTTCTCACCTCCAACATCTTCTTCTCTCCTCCATCATCTTGTCTTCTGACTTTCATGCGCTGAGTTCCTGGCACTTCCTGCATGTGGTGCTGTTGAGATGTGAGCACTGAGAACTGGGTTCATTGCAATAGCATGGCAAAGCAAAGCAAAACAACAACATGAACAGCAAGGTGCAAACCAACACAAGAATGGTGAGAAACTAAGATTGAAGAAAAGAACAGGACGGAGGGTTGGGCATGTGACAACCATATGGTGAAAATGTCTGCCACAAAAGCCAGAATCAAAACACAGAGACTATGTGCAACGGCACACAAATGTCTGTCATACCGCATGGATATGTTCATGGATGGATGGCTGATATAGCTAATAATGGCAACGACTGCTCCTCCTGAATAACAAACCCTTTTCCTTTTTGGCTGTTCATTTGTCCACAGGTTATGCAGAAGAACTACGAAGTTCTCCTAGGTAAGATTTTTTTTTTTTTTTTTTTTAACCTGAAACCTAGGCTTTTTTTCCGGGTGCCCGGGCACCCAACTTATGCCCGGGTACCCGCCCAGGCATGACCCCCGGGCGGTTCCAGGCAGTCCCAGCGCCAAAAAAAAAAAAAAAAAAAAAAAAAAAAAAAAAAAAAAAAAAAAAACCGGAAAAGAAAATATGTAGCTTCTTTTACCTTTCTTGCTCTTTATTTTAATCTGACAGGCTCATGATGTGGACCTGAGAGGAAAGATGGAAGCAAGGCAAGCTGACGGTCAATCCTCCACGATGATGGAGTAATCAATGCTGATCAGGGGTCCTTCAGCCAGATGGAAGGAAGCATGAGTGCGTGTCTGGATGTAACATTTTATTCTGACTTGCCGGTGGAATAGGAACCGGACTGATGCTCCCCAGAATGGAAATGGAGCCAGGGCCATAAGGAAAAAAAGAAAAAAAAAAAAGAAGAAGAAGAAGAAGAAAATATGTTGTGTCGAATTGCAATACAAATGACTTTTGGCTGAGGGTCACATTAGAATTCCTCACGGAATCGGAGATAAAAAAGAAAATAACAGAATCACACTAAGGCACACCCCTTAAAAGTTTAAACCCCTTCAGCTAAGTTTAGCCCCTTTAAAACCAATTTATAACCCCCGCCCCCTTGAAAGCCAACTCGGAAAAAAATAAATGAGCCCGGAATTGGGGTCCTCTGGGAGAGCGCAGAAAATATTAACAAATGTTTTTTGCATGCCCGGGCATGAGACCCCCCCGGGCGTCATGCCCGGGTGCCTGGCCGGGCATGAAAATCTTCCTAGCCCCAAACCCCATTATTTTGGGGCTAGCAGCCCGGTTGCTTATCACAGGCAACTTCAGCTGCAAGCATGAGAACAAGCTAAGAAAAAGAAGGAACAGAAGACTCAGTCTAGTTCCAGCACAGGGGCCTGCTCAAGGAAACCCCAAAGCTTTGTGCAGCGAGTCACCAGAAGATTGACAAAGGTAGAGAAGCAATGGAGAGAGAGGGAGAATAATTTCATTCATTGATGACTGATCAATAATACAATTCACTCGGCTCTTCCTTCCCCCTCCACCTCCAGGTTCCTCTCTACCAACTCGCCACTTCATCAAATGCAAGGCTCCCCCCAAAAGTCACTGATGAAGTCTCTCGGCAGGTACCAGCTATGGCGCCCGACACCAGTGCAGTCATCCCACCCCCTACCCAGCGGCTGTCATATCTCAAGGCAGACTTGGACGTTTTCTGCAGATACTTTGGGCCCAGGGTCAACTGGGTGAAGTGAAAGGTCATTTTCCCTGTGGAGATGGCTCTGAAACGGTTTTCACCTATTAGCAGTAGTGAATGCAGATCCCAAGGCTAGATCCCCAGTCCTCACCTTACCTGTGTACAGTACCTGTGTCGACCCTGAGAGTTGAACCCGTGACCTGGGTGTGTTTGCAGGAGTGGTGGTCGGTTGTAGGGTCTGTAGGTGTAGGGGTTCGATCTGTAGATCTGTCGAGTAGAAGTCTTAGGGAGTTCTAGAAGTCGTAGCTATAGAACTTCCGAAGGGTCAAGGTCGTAGCTGCTACAGTCTTCGAAAGGCCAGGACCCAGACTTCTGGAAGGTCCTAGTAGTGGCCTTTCGAAGTTGCTCACGTTTAGGCTGAGGCAAGTGGGCAAGTGGTGGAGTCTACCCGTGCTGAGTCAGCAGTCCCAGTCCCAGTCAGTCCTAGTCCAGTCAAGCAAGTACCGCATGGGACTGTGTGCACCACGGGCATGGGAAAAGGGCAGACCAACGAGATACAAAAGTATAAATCAAGAGGCAGCGCCCAGCCATTCATTCATTCCTGATGGTCTTGATTGTGTGACTGAATGCATGTGATCTACCTACTCACCTGATGGATGGAAAATGAAGTATCTTGAACAGTGCTTTGTCTTTTCATCTCTGAACAGTTGTAGTCTGTAGGTTCTGCCGGAAGTTGAAATTTCGTTTTTCAGTCCAGTAGAAACTGAACTAAGTCCAGGAGGGACTTCTCTTGGTTGGGACCTGGCCGCGACCTACGTGGGACCTTTGGAACCCAGTGGGACCGGGCTCAAACAAGAAGAGCCCTTTTGGGCCGAAATTGGTTAGGCATTAGCCCATTGTCTTCTGACTGTGTTGCAGAGTTTTTTCTTCTTGGTTAGGACACCCACTGCCGAGGGGATCTTGGCTGAGACGTTTCACATGTCTTTTGGTTGCACTGTCCGTGGCTTGACTCGCACCCTGTACACCACTCAATTCTCCATTGTTGCATTTAGTCACTCGTTGTTTGATTTGCTGTACGGTCACGGAGCTGGTCAGACTAGACTCGAGAGGACCTCGTATGCAGTCTGATCAGACTGGGTCATTGGATCAGACCTCTCGTTTGAACTGGTTTGTTTTTCTTTGGTTTGCTGCTCTCTACGTCCAAATGAAATGCCCCTACGGCCAGGAGTTCTACCTTCTCTTCTCTGAGCTTTTAAGTCTGTTTTTCTGAGTTCATTTCTGATGCCCGTGGAGACCCACCGCCGGAAAGAAGAGAGAGAGAAGGGAGAGAAGGAAAGTGACCGTCTGGAGTGGGCAAGAACTGGGAAAAGGAGTGTTCGTCCAAGTGAGAAGGGGAGTGAACCTCTTGAGAGTCTCATTGATTCGTTTGCTGATTGGCGACTCTCTGACCCACCTGTCAATATTGACGGTCCAAAAATGGCTCAGCTAACTTCAGTGCAATGGCGGACCTTGTTATATGCAACCAATGATGCAGAAAAACCGTATCTACAAGCACTCCTAGATAGTGCAACCAAAAGGGAACAGGAGGCAGAGAAGGAGAGGAAGGAGTCGTTACTGAAAAGACAGGTGGCCATCCTAGAGACTGTTCCCTCACTGATTGAGGAGCGGTGTGGGGAACAGTTGCAGTCTATACTCACCGCCCTTGTGCAAGTCAGGAATCTTGAAGATCATACCACTCAGATCGTTGAAGTCTTCACAAAGTTGCGAACACTTCAAGATAATCTGACTGATATGATCCGCAAGTACCACAAATTGACAAAGGAGGTGGCTGAGCTGCGACAAGCCCAAGTGGCCAACCCTCTTTCTCTACCCGCTGGATCTGAAGCTGCAATTGAAACTACCTCTGCCTCTCTTACTGTATCTTCTTCCTTGAATGTGATGACAACCCCCTCGGGACCTGCGACAGGTGCAGATTTCGCTGTTGCTGTGACAAGCAACGAGGCTGGAAATTATGCAACTGTTGCAGCCCCAAGGTTGGAACCAGCAAGTGTTGGTCCCAGCTGCATCGGTCCCTATGTGGACCGAAAGGCGGTCAAATACCGTCTAAGTACAACGGCAAAGAAGACATCGAATCCTGGATCAGCTCCATGAGGGCATACTTCGAGGTTCTGGGGACTCAACCTGAGACCCAGTTCGTGATCATGGGAATGAATGTTGAGCCGGTGGTGCGAGGCTTCTTAGAGGTCCAAGCTACGCGAGCTGGGATTCCCAAAATAGAACTAACAAGGTGGCTTAAGACCACCCCGGTTGCCTCCCTGAGGAACTCCTCATTTCGCAATACTTGGATCCACATGCTGCAGCAGGGCAAGAATCCAGCTTGACAAAATCAAGCGCCGCAAGTGGACGGGCTCCATGAAAAGCCTGCAGACTTACCTTAGCAAGATGTTCGCTACACTCGGATTGGAACTAACTGCTCAATCTTACCTTAGCAAGATGTTCGCTACACTCGGATTGGAACTAACTGCTCAATCTTGCTTGGATGTGGTCAAAGGCGCGGTTGCCACCAACTTTACTAATTGCCTAGGCAGGGACTTCATTGGAAACATTGACTGGTTCACTCTAATGAAGGACATTGTCAGTCTTGAGGCTGTAGACCTCGTCACCACAGCAGGTAGCAAAAAGCCCATGGGCAGCCGGCGGTTCAAAGGCAACAACCGTTTTGTTGTGCATGACCTGCTGGAGGCCGAAGAAGAAGCCGATGCAGATGACCCCACTCTTGGTGACGACCAGGAACATGACTCTGATACAGCTTGTTCTTCAGCCCATGAGTCTGATGCGAACAAAGAAGAAGAAAACTTTACTGCCTTTAAAAAAACTGCCAATGCAAAGGGATCGAATCGGAGTGCAGGGAAGAACTATGCCTAACTTCCCAAGGGAGTCAAGATCCCACCGAAACCATAGGATGCGAGTACTAAACCTTGGGTCGAACTCCGGATTATTGAAAATGACTGGAGAGGTAGACTCAAGAAAGGGGTATGCCTGCATTGCCAAAAACCAAACCATAAGGTACAAGATTGTTATAGGCTGCAGGGAAACTAGAACCGGGCGTAGAGTCAACTTCAGCAAACTCTACAGCAGGGGAGACTGAATCTGAGGCAGATCAGCAGTCCTCCCTTGAAGCCCAATCATCTGCTGAACACAAGGTTGAGGCGAGTAATGTTTTGTATGTCGAGCCTTGGGAGGAGTCTGGGACGGTCGATTTTCACTACCACTTGGAGCATTGGGCTGAGATAAAACAGCAGCGTGCCCAGGGGACGGTGAAGTTGATCGTCTTCAAACTTCTCATAAACCACCGCTATCTCCGTGTTTTGGTTGACTGTGGTGCTACGGCTAACTTTATGTCACCTCACGGGATACGCAAAGCGGGCTTGGGGATGAAGCAAGTGGCCTTGCAGAACCCTTGCCGGACCCAAGTCGGCAACAAAGAAGTTGTCTTTTCTACGCATGCAGTCAAAGGTGTGCGCACTACCTTTGACAAAGACAAAACTGTCACCTACGCGTTAAGCTTCTATGTCCTTGACAAGTGCCCCTTCGACGTTGTCCTTGGCTTGGGCTGGCTGCAGTCCCAATGCAAATGGACCAAGTGGAAGGAGTCACTTTTCATGGTTAAAGATGCACAAGGGAACGAGCTTCCCGTCCTCTTGGATGAGAAGCACGAATCCCCAGTGACTTTTTTGAATGCTATGAATTTCTGCAAGAAATGGCGCAAGCACAAGGAGAACGAACAGTTGTATGTTGCCTTTGTTCGTCCTGCCCATGTGCCATCTACTTTTGCGGTAAATTCCACTACTACTTCAGCCAGTGATACTACTTCTAGTACTACTACTCCCAACACCTCTATTTCTCTACCCTCTAATGGTCAAAATGATCCTACTTCATATTTTGTTGTCTATATACGCGACCTGCGACCGGATCTAGGTGACCCCTTTGCTGATCCCCCACCCCCACCGGTCCCACTAGACATCCAAAACCTCCTCGATCGGTATGAAGTTCTGGTCGAGCCACGTGGAGTCCCCACGCGATCGGTCCGACACACCATCGAGTTGGTTGAAAGTGATGTTCCTCCAAAGGGCTGCGTATACCGAATGGGACCCGGCGAGTTGGAGGAACTCCGGCGACAAATTGATGAGATGATTGACAAGGGGTGGATCAAGCCTAGCGAATCTGAATTTGGTGCTCCTGTGTTGTTTGTTTCAAAGAAAGGAGGCAAACTCCGCATGTGTATTGACTATCGCGGCCTAAACCACATCACAAGAAAGAACGCCTATCCATTGCCCCGAATAGATGACTTGCTTGATGCCGTAGGTGGGTGCAACGTCTTCTCCAAGATCGATCTCAAGTCTGGCTACCACCAGATTGAAGTCGATCTTGCGGACCAGCACAAAACTGTGTTCAAAACATGCGATGGGCTTTACGAGTTTACCGTAATGCCCTTCGGTCTCACGAATGCACCGGCCACCTTCCAAAGCCTCATGGACAAAGCCCTTCGCGAACAGATTGGCCGGTTCGTGGTGGTCTACCTCGATGACATACTAATCTTCAGCAAGTCCATGGAGGAACACCTCAAGCACCTTGAGGAAGTACTGACCATCCTCAAGAAGACGCAACTTCATCTCAACTTAGAGAAATCTGAGTTTGGGAAGGATAGTGTCATCTATCTTGGGCACCGGTTGTCTGTTGCAGGCCTAGAGCCTGAGGCAACCAAGGTGGAGGCCATACGCAACTGGCCTAAGCCCGTGAATGTTCGCGAGCTGCGCTCTTTTCTTGGTCTCGCGTCATACTATCGGAAGTTTGTACCCCGCTTCTGCATTGTTGCGCGTCCATTGTCGCGACTGACAAGTAAGAATGTTCCCTATTCTTGGGATACCGCGTGCACGAACGCCTTTCAAGCTTTGAAAGACGCCTTAGTAAGTCACCCAGTACTCCGCATTGCAGATCCCAAACTGACATTCGTAATTACTACAGATGCAAGTCAGTATGGAATCGGTGCAGTGTTGCAGCAAGATGACGGCTATGGCTTGCGGCCGCTCGAATTCTACAGCAAATGCATGCCCAGCGTAAAGGTAGCCACTTCCACCTACATGCGCGAGCTCTATGCTTTGCGTATGGCTTTGGACCATTGGAAGCACTATCTTTTGGGACGCCACTTCAAAATGTTCTCAGATCATGAGACCCTGAAGTGGATCAAGAAGCAAAAATGAAATTGACATCTTTGACTTTGAGCTGAGACACAAAAAGGGTTGTTATAATCGAGTCGTTAACGCATTGTCTCGCCACCCGGAGTACATGACTTGCCTTGTGAAATCCTATGACCTCCGGAAGAAACTGAAGGAGGAACTCGTAGAGCAGACAGCCAAGGATCCGAAACTTAGTCCCATCCTTGAGCGGCTACGGGCTGACCCTAGCAGTCAGCCTGATTTTCACGAGTATGGAGGACTGATTTTCTGTCGCTACGGGAACCACGACCGTTTGTGTGTGCCCAACCATGAGCCTACCCGCACGCACTTTCTGGATTTGGCTCATGGCCGGAGCGGACACTTCGGCATGGCAAAGACATACGCAAATCTGTTGCGACAATTTGATTGGTCTGGCATGAAAGGGACTGCTGAAAAGTTTGTGGCTGAGTGTCAAGTCTGTCAACGAATCAAACCATGCAGACAGAAGCCCATGGGGTTACTCGCACCCCTTCCCATTCTCGATGGTCCCGGGGAGTCCGTCTCCGTTGATTTCACCGACTTGGGAAAGGTAAGTAAGAACGGCTACTCACAAGTCATGGTGATTGTTGACCGATTCTCTAAGTTTCTTCGTCTGATCCCTTTGCCGCCGCACGCCCCAACAAAATTAGTGATTCGTGAGTTCCAACAGAAGTACATTCTGCAGTTCGGGACCCCGAAGACTCTCGTAAGCGATCGGGGCCCGCGCTTCATTAGTACTGAATGGAAGGACTTCACGTCTCATCTGGGGATCAGGCTGTGTATGACATCTGGCTGACACCCTGAAGCCAACGGTTTGGCTGAAGAAATCAACCAGACTGTGTTCCAACTTTTCTGCTCTTTGATTATCCCGGATCAGGAAACATGGGATGAAGAGTTGTATTCCGTTAGGGGGTTGTACAACAACTCCATCCATTCTGCCACCGACATGGCACCTAACAGGCTGCATCTCGGTTGACAGATCCGTAATCCGCTCTCCTACCTATTCCCTGAGCAGCCAGCTGGTTTAACACCCGGCAGGGCTAGCTTCAGGGCCAAGTATGATCGCTTGCTCAAGGCTGCCATTGCAGCCATGACCAAGCGACAGCATGCCATGATCCATCACGCGAACAAGGGGCGCCGACCGTCGGACATTCAGGTAGGAAGCTATGTCTAGGTCAAGATGTCTGAATTCTCAGAAGAAGAAGGGGTCTCTCGCAAACTTCTCCCACTCTATTACGGACCGTGGATGTGATTGGCGAAGACCACTTTGGCCCTTCGTACGTAGTTGATGTGCCAGCCCATCTGCGCACATACCCCGTGTTCCATGCATCGAAATTGGACCTCCACCGTGATGCTAAGACGTTCAACTATCGCGAAGACATGATCCCTTGTGCGATCAAAGGCGGGCATGAGATAGACAGAATCAAACAACACGTAGGGAAGAGACGCAACAGACAGTACCAGGTTCACTTCATGTATCACCCATTAGACGATCTGTATTGGATCTCCAAATAGGAACTGCTACGCAGCGCACCGCGCGTTGTCAAAGCCTACGAGCGACAAATCGCCACTAACGTTGTACCTAAGATCTCTGCAAGACTCACTGCAACAGAGTACTCTAGGAACTTCTTTGCCTTGCTTGCTTACGATGCGTTTGTCGAGGACTCTGAGTTACTCGCTCGAAGGGACCTCGCTCTTGAGGGGGGAGTAGTGTGATGACCTGTCCAAACATGGACTTAAACACGTAGCTGATTTCTGAGTTTTTCCCATCGAGTGAATGCCCTGTTGAGTTTCCCGCTTGCTACTAAGTCTGTGTGTGCACGCTTGTTGGACTGCATGACTGTCTGAGTGCTGGTTGGCTTGAGTGTGTGTGTGGCCGTGCCTGTCTGAGTGCTGGTTGGCTTGAGTGTGTGTGTGGCCCGCAAGGGCAATTGCTCGTTCATTGGGCCCTCAGGGCCGGTACTTACCTGTGGTCGTGACATTGAGGGATTGCAGCAGGAAAAACACTCAAGTAGCGGGTAGGCTGGTACCGCACCCTGAAGGGTAGATGTGCGGGTACTGGAGGCCGAGCAGAAGAAGACAAAAGTGGCATTTTTAGAGGCCCAGTAGTTGTAGGTTAGGTCTAGGTGGATACCAGTTCAACCAGTCTGGGTCTAGGGCCTGTACGGGCAATATCAGAGTCTGCAATGATGTTTCCCTCCGAAAGGGAGGAGGTACCGGTTGCTTGGAAGGCCAAGCGGCCTGGAAGTCACCGCCCAAGAGGCAAAGCAGGCCGCTATATCTTCCGGTCGGGCGGAGAGTCCGGCCTCTTTTTCGGTGTGCAAGTTTGGCGAGACACTGGTGGAGCGCTGGTTGGAGGAGCGCCATGCTGGAGCAGCGCTGCTGGGGAGGAAGGAGAAGGACACGAGGGAGGAAGAAGGAAGGAAGGGGGAGGATCGCCAAGGGTACTTACCTGACTATGGAGGCAGCCATCTTCATCACCTTGGTGGGCGCTGCAGCAGGGAGTCCCCAACTGGGGAGAGCCACACCAAGAAGCTTCAAGGCAGGGTTGGGCATGGCGGCCTGAGCTAGTGCAGCCATAGCTGCTTTGGGTTGTCCTTTGGGCATCTGGGCAAGGCCTAGTAGTCCGCCATAGCCTCGGCCTATGAGAGTGAAGAGTGGGGAGGCGGCCATGGCTATAGTGGACCTCAAGTGATACATGCAGTAGAAGAGGGACTCGGACATTGATTTTGGATCAGCTATTCAACGTTGTATTATTATTTCTTGTATGAATAAGAGGAGGGGGAGATAAGGAGGAGGAGATTGTTGGGCGAAGAAGAAGAGCCTTGTCATTTGTCTATGCTGGTGTACATCATCTTCTTCTTCTTTCTTACTTCTTCTTCTTCTTCTAATCCTCTCTCTCCTCTCAAGTTCATTCATTTCTTTCTACAATTGGACAGCATTATACTATCTGATGGATGTGTATCTCGAAATTGGCCAGGATCATAACATAAGATGCAATTGCCTTTCACATATAACAGTAAGAGGGGGGAACACTTGTTGCTTTGGATTGTCGAAATCCAGACCTACTATAGTACCGCTCCTGTCGAACCAAAGATCTTCTCCACTTCATGTTCGGGAGAAGTTGCGAAGGTGTGGGTATTGTCTGAGTCCAATGTTGTTGGCTTCGAAGACGTGGGTGAGTGGGCGAAAACCATGACTCTACAGGAATTTCTCTAGAAAATTAAGGAGAGATTCTTGACAAGACGACGGTCGACAAGGCCTTTAATGAACTCACCATGATTAGCCAGAGGCGTTGGACCATTGTCGATGCCTTGTCACATGCCTTGTCACATGAAGTTGATCGTCTTTTGCAGGTACTTGGACTGAACTTGTAGTTCAACCAAATCCTTTATATCTATTTGTGCGCATTGTCGAGCCTATATGCGGACAGCTCGTGGCGGAGACCAAGTCTGGGAAGCATAATTATCGGCAGTTTCGCAATCTTGCCCTCCAGAGAGAGCAGATGACCGCGCAGGTCAAAGGGACCTACGCTAATGTAGTGAGAGGTGGACCATCGGGTGGGTACGAAAATGGAAAGAGAGTCCTGTGGTGGCAAAAGCGCTAAGACCACACTCTCGTCGTCTTCGACGACGAGATTGTTGAAAGATTACCCCTCGAAGAGGCAGGGGGCGAAGCAAGTCATGGCGGTGAGTCTGGAAAGGGTAATGTCACCACCATGGTCGCCAACAAGAGTGGCACCAACGAAGGAGGATATAGGAAGAGGAGGTCACACTCCTTTTCGGAGCATTCTGGCACTGCGTCTGGCCGACCCTGGGAAAAGATCGACCTCACCCAGAAGGAATAGCAAGGGCAAATGGATAACAGGCAATGCCTAAAGTGCCTAAAGTGTGGCACTTTGGGACACATAATTGCATGGTGTCCCCTCATCCGGAACCCAAAAGGGAGCAGCCAGTAGGAGTAGCATCTGCTCCTACTGAGTTGGACGGTTTAGACAAAGGTAAGGCGCCTACAACCCCTTTCAACCCCCTGATTCGCAAGGCAGAGGATGACTCTTCTTCGGCCCGTCACCCAGAACACCCTGACAAAGTCTTGTGTTCTGTCACGTTGGGTGATTCCCTTGATGAACTTGGTTGTGAACTCATAGCGTTAAAGAGTTCATGGGCTAAGAAAACTAAGTCTAAAGGTTAATTGATGATTGCAAACGTAAAGATTGTGCGCACCCGCGTAGGTGCATTATTAGATTCAGGTTGAACTCGGTCCTATATCTCAGAAAAAGGCAATGTGTAAGTTGCATCTTGGAATGAAAGTGCATGACCTTTCGAGACCTGCCACGTCTATGCTTGCTGATAAGAGCACGATCACTATCTCTTAGTTTGTTGGTCGTGTTAAATGTTATTTCGGAATCAAGGAAGGAAAAAAAACTTGCATGAAGTAACCTTCCTAATAGAAAATAATCTGGCTTTCATTATGATTATGGGAATGGATTGGCACAAGGAGGACGACCCAGAAGTCAAGTCCAAGGACAAGATTGTCAAACTAAGGGATGAAAAATCCAAGTTAGAGTCAATTAAATTGTTTTCCAAGTCTGGTTCTGACTCATCACTGTCTTTTCCTTGTACGAGTCTACCTACTTTTCGAAGTATGGTCACGAAAAAAAAGTTGGCACAGGACGTAATGATGGTACTCGTTAAATGAGTCGGTGAGTGTTCTTTGTCTCGTCCTCCTTCTATCGATAAACTACTTGATGAATACAAGGATTTGCAGACTAAACCAACGGGAGTAACTGACCATGTTATAAAGCACATTATCGAAATCATTCCTGGAAGTAAGATTCCCAAAGGACCGATCTACCAAATGTTCAAGAGGGAATTGAAAGAACTAAGGAAACAACTGCAAGAACTTATCGAAAAATAATGGATTCAACCGAGTTCCTCTCCCTACGGTGCCCCTGTTTTATTCGTACCTAAAAAGGAAGGTGAACTTAGATTGTGTATTGACTATCGAGGACTCAATTTCGTTATTATTAAGAATGTGGAACCTCTCCCTCGTATTGACGATCTTCTCGATCAACTGCAGGGTTGCAAGTACTTAAGATTGATATGAAGTCCGGATACCACCAGACCGAGTTGGCACCCAGAGATCAACATAAGACGGCATTCACAACAAGGTATGGACAGTACGAGTTTGTTGTCATGCCTTTTGGGTTGACTAACGCCCCTGCAACCATTCAGAGGTCAATAAATAAACTGTTTAGGCAGTGGCTAGATCAATTTGTAGTAGTGTATCTCGACGACATCCTCTTCTACAATAAGACGTTGGAAGACCATGAGAAACACCTATGAATGGTTCTAGGGAAATTTGGAGAAGGAAACTATAAGTTAAATCCTAAGCACATAGTAAATGAGGAAGGACTAAGGCCAAAAGAAAAAAAAAATACAACAATCAGAGATTGGCCCAGACCCAAGACTGTCACTGAACTGCGATCCTTCTTAGGACTTGCTAGCTATTATAGGAAGTTTGTGAGAGTCTTTTCCATTATAGTTGCACCATGAGAAGATTGTTACAGAAAACGAAACCTTGGTTATGGGATAAATCATGGTTGCCCTGGACCCGGATATCCAGACACCGGACACCGGGCCCGGACCCGTTGTCGAGCGCATCGGCCCCCGCCTTTTCTTCCGCAGAGGTGGAAGCCCTCCCGGCCATGTCACGCAGGAGTTAAACAAAAACACAACATAAGAGACAACTTGAGAACGACGCGAAATAATCTCGCTAACCGTCGAGACGGGTGTGAGGTCGCGTCGTTCCTTCGCCGCTCTAACCGGGTGCGCCAATTGTACATCCCGTGGTGTCCTACGACAGGATAGGTTCCCGCGCGGCACAACTTGTTTCCCTAAGGGGCTGTCACCACCCTTAGGGGCGTATCCCTACCGAGCTACCGACCCACGTGCGAAAGCTTTTAGATGCAATTGCAGAGGTGAGTCGGCCGAGGGTGTTTGCTCGTTCGCTGTAGTATAGATACGTTTGGTTAACGCCGAGTGGACCCGAGCATCGTTCGTTCCTTAGGGCGCTGATCTCCTAGGAACAAAGTGTACGCCGATCGACTAGGACGGTCTCAACTAAGCGTGAAACCCACAGTATCCTAGTCCCTTTAACATACAACTCAAAAGAAATTTATATCACCCACATATATTTAAGGAATCGGCTGCAGTTGATAGAAAAGTACATTCAATCAGAAATAACAAACAAAATAATTTGAATCATCATGCAATACATCCAATAGCTCAATATCAAAATAAAACCCGACCATCCCGGGTCGAACTCCGCAAAAATCATATAGCCGCCAATGAGGAGTCGTCTTCCGACAATCACATAGATGCACCCGACACGGTAGTCGGCTGTCTTGGGTTTGACTTGATGAGATACGCTGCCAAAGTCATTCATTCCAACCTACAATCGACCTAAGATTAGACATGCACACACTTGTCGCCGTACGTTCCTAATCTTTTCGATGACAGGCTGCTTTGCAGATGATTCTTGATCAGGTGCATTGCTTGATGGGTTGCATGCCTCACCCTCTAGGAAGTGGTCTGGGGTACTCCTCCTCCTCGTCCGAGCACAAGACTCGGATCTCAGAAGTCGGGCCGTCTCCACCGAATCGGCAAAGTACCCCCCCCCGTAGAAACGGTCCACTCTGGGTCGATAATAGGGCTAACTCCTAAAGCAACAAACCCCCGCCCCAAATGCTTCCTTGAAAGATGGGAATGTGTTCACCACAAGAAGGTTTTAACTGTTCTTGTTTTTTTAACTCAAGGTAACTTGGACGAAAAGAAAAGTCAAGAGCGAGAGATAAAGACTCATTCGGACAGGCGCAAATAAGAGGGTCGATCAGGATAGAACGGGTTTCCTAGGGAAAAGTTGAATTCATTATGCTTTGATTCTCTTTCTATTTTCAAGATTCCTTTTCTCACGGCACCCATCGATTATCCTTCAAAAATAACAAGCAAGTTCACCCAGCTCACTGACGAAAGGAAAAAAAAGGTAAGGAGGCGAAACTCTTCGTCATTTTGCCAAATAGCATTCTGTCACACTTTCATAGACAAGCCAAGTCTCACTACTCACGTCAGACCCACCTTTTCACTCGTGCACGACGCCCACAACCCCACTCAACCTTTTCTTTTGAACATTCAAAGTGAAAGGGTGTGGGTGCACACAGGTGTGAAGGGAGTCCGAGTCGTCCACTGACTGACCTTGAGTGAAGTGGTGTCAAACGCGCTGTGGCTCACTCAAGAAAGCCAAGTAACATATACCCGTCGCCGAAAAAACCGCAGTCCCGAGGTAAGTCTTGGGCCAACTGCTTGTCCCAATCTGTTACCGACTCGCAAGTTTCACTCGCGGCAGTCCTAAGTGCTAAGATGGCGAGTCGCACTCGTCCCAAAAAAATCCACTGCATCCTGCGTCGATCCCAACTGATCCCAAGTGGTCCCAAGTGGTCCGCACTACCGCTTGTAGCATCGAATGGTCCCAACTGCCGAAACCGCTCTCACCACGCTCTCCAAAAAAATAATAACACTACCTGGTGTCAAAACCGCAAGTGCCACGTGCTCCCAATGGTCGATGCGCCGCCCACTCACGTCCCACCATCGTGCCGCAATTCCATTGTCGTGCCGAATCCTTGTAAAAAAAAACGGCAGCGCTTCGCCGTGTCGTACCACCGAAAAAAAAAAAAACAAAGAGCAGCGCTTCACCGTGTCCTACCACCGTAAAAAAAAAAGAAAACGGTTCGCCATGCCGTACCACCGCAAAAGACGGCGGCGCTTCGCCGTGCCGTACCACCGTAAAAAAAACGGCAGCTCTTCGCCGTGCCGTACCACAGTAAAAAAAACACGGCAGCGCTTCGCCGTGTCGTACCACCGCAAAAAGACTGCGGCGCTTTGTTGTGCCTTACCACCGTAAAAAAAACGGCAACGCTTCGCCGTGTCGTACCACAGTAAAAAAAAACGGCAGCGCTTCGCCGTGCCGTACCACCGCAAAAAGACGGCGGCGCTTCGCTGTGCCGCACCACCGTAAAAAGAT